CAACAAAGTGATTCAGCAGGAGATAGCAGTTTATGGAGACTGTATTGTTGTTTCATTTTATTTTCATACAGATAAATTTTTAAACCATCATTTCCTTAGTTAATCTAACTGATAGGGTAAAAATGAGGTTTTWCTTTTCCGAAGTTCCAGGTGTCCTTTGCTCATGTTAAGGAATCTGATTCTATATTTGAGTTTTGTGAAACAAAAGGTATCTTTGCTGGGGGAGTTGTTGAGGTGGTGTGCCCCCCAAGTATTGTTTTTTTTCTTTACCATCTATATAGCAACAAGAGCAGCAATAAAATGCCTCTCCTTCCCCCTCACTACTTCAATTCAAAGTGTTTCAGTTTGTTGTAATTTTTCTTATGAAATGGTATGGCATATAACATTCAGCAAATTAWTAAATAAATCTTGAATTTAATTGCAGTCAGAGTTTATAGTACCAATTTGGTGGTTTGATTTAAACTTTTTTTAATGGGAAGAATGTAGATGCTTAAGAAAACATTGTCTTGTAATGCATTCTGCCATTTTCCTGTTTCCCGTTAGCAAATCTTGATTTTGTTCTCCAGAATGGTCAGTGTTTGCAGATTTGGCTGGGCTGCTTTTTGTTTCTTCTACTACAATAAAAATTCTTGTAGTGTCTTTTTTTCTCCCTCAAAGAGTAACAGCAGCTTGTTGTATTTAGTGGCTATTATTTAAATGTTATATTGGCATGGTCTGGATTTTGGACTACGTATAGAGTAAATCTAATTTCTCACATTCGGCAGATGTGACATTTGAGATTCTTACAAAATTGTTTGAATTATAAAAAAATAAGCAGGACATAAGGCACGTCTGCTCACTTTTTTTAATCTCCTTTTGGGGATTGTGATGATAAAAGTATTTTTCATTTGTGTATTCAGTACTTGGTTAGTTCAGTTAAATCAAGATGCTTATGTTTTTCTTTGTTAATATTTTTGCTTTTCCCTGAGGGAATATTGATTTAATTTCTTCTTGAACTTTAAAAAGAGATACCATAATTTTGTGGAAGGATCTGTGTAGTATTAGTTAAGACTTCAAGGAATAAATCTTTAAACCTCCCACTCTAAATTTTAAAAACAGTACAGTAAATAGCCTGAGGGAATCCAAAAATAGCCAATTTAGTGAGCAGCTGGCTTGCASTGGAAGTGTTGGTCAACATTTGTGCTTACATATACCTTTGTACTTTGAATCTGTTTTTCCATCAGAAGCAGTGTTTGTAGGATTGTATATTTACATCTCATAGAGTAGGTTTTATATTTTAAAGTATGTTTAAGATTGAACCATYAAATAACTTAGAGTTTGAATAAATGTGTTTTTTTTGCAGACTGATGACAGCAAAACATCGGTGAGGGATCGATTTAATGCAAGACAGTTCATGTCATGGCTACAGGAYGTTGATGATAAGTTTGACAAATTAAAGGTACATTCCTTTGTCTTTCCTTTAAAAAAAAAGTCACTATGAAGATGAGATGAATAAATAGTAGATTTGTGTGCAGTATCACAGGTTTTTGTGGAGGTAACCCAAAGGAAGGTCTGTCAGTATAAAAAAGCCCTAACTTTTGTTGCCATGTAGTGTAATGGAATAATTGTAAATTTCTAGRTATTACACTATTGGTGGAATTATTTACTATCACCAGAGAGGCTCTGAGATGTATTTCCTGTGTTCAGACATGTTGCAGTAATATTTTTTTATTTATTGAAATAAATATTTCAATAACTTCTTTCTCAATTTCAAACCAGACGTGCCTTTTGATGAGGCAGCAGCACGAGGCAGCGGCGCTAAATGCGGTGCAGAGACTGGAGTGGCAGCTTAAACTGCAAGAGCTTGATCCTGCTACATACAAATCCATCAGCATTTATGAAATTCAGGAGTTTTACGTTCCTCTTGTTGATGTTAATGATGACTTTGAATTGACGCCCATATGACAACCAGCACCATCTGGCTCGTCCTTCCCCATGGACAGCTAGATACTAAGGTGCAGTGATACACAAAGGTATTTTTCTTTTGAGACAGAGCACTTCATTCTGTGGAATACTAGAGAGAAGTGTGGCACAGACTCTTGTTCAAACATGGAAGACGGATGCAAATTTTAAATTCGGATTCCCAGTTAACTGCTGTTATCTGTATTTTAAAATTGCCTGTAGCTTTATTGCTTAAAAAGATGACAAAACCTGGTGAGTTTACAGCGCTGGAAGCTGTTAATAACTAAAACATCCACCAAAAAGCAAATGATACCTAAAATCTGCTATAAAGCTTTGTATTATGRATTTTCAGTAACAGTTGAACTCCCACAGAAAAATGATGAGAAAACCTGTGGAAGAAAATGTCAGACTTGGAGGAAAATAGTCAATTAATCTTATTATGTTTTGTAAATTACTGTACAGATTTCTTTTTGGAAAAAGATGTAATATTGTCTTCATTTTTAAATAATTTATTTTATACATATTGTGCAAATGTAAATAGTCCTGTAATTAATGTTCAAACCTGTATAAAATAGATATTTTAACTGTAAAACTGTTTTTTGTCTAATGTTTTCTTGGACCAAAGTTGTTGTAATTTGTTTTTATTAAGTGTAGTGTGTTCCTGGTTGGCAGTTCCTTTTTGTATGGCATGCGTTTGATTTAGCTGCTTGTTTCATCACCATAACTGTAAAAGGATTGAACTGTATTGCATGCTCCACAGGACCCTGAACTCCTCCCCTTCAATAACTGATACCTAAACTATTGTAATACTTACAAAATCATACTTCATATTAGTCTGCTGTTGTAATGCCATACCTATGACTTCCTATATTGAAAATATTTTTGTGTAAAACRAAAAAAAACCCTTTTGCTCTTATATGGTGGTCTCGTAATAGAGCCTATTTTTTCCAACAAAATGCCTTTGAATTAAAATTCTTAAATTGTATATTGTCTATTTTAATATTAATCTATGGAAGGGATATGTAAATAGTTGTAAATATAATATTTAATAAATTTTATTGGTCATGTTATTAGTTGGAATTTCTTAATATTGGAACACTTGATATACAATCCTTCTCATTCCCCGAGGAATATAAGGAGGCTCAATGGAAAAGGTAAATTCCCTGTGTTGTGAAATTTAATGCCTTTTTATTCTTAGTACTGTTAATGAGCAGACAGTTAATTATTTATTAGTAGGAGGTTACAGATATTCATGAAAAAGATTTGTTACCCTCCAGGCCATAAACTATTCAAGAATGCTTGGGATCTGATGTCTGTGAAATCATTTCTGAAAGAAATGAGGCTTGGCCAGGAGACCTGATTACTCAGAATAAGAGATTTTAAATCCTTGATTTGAACTGATTTTTCTTGACCAGGTGAGCTACTACAGAGAAATGACCAAGAGACTCTGGACAGCAGGCTCCTTCCATCTGCACATCGCTGCTAGTGCCAGTTAAGAATAAATAGTAACTCAGGCACGGTAAAGTCAATTAATATGTAGTTCCTGCCCTGTAACTTTTTTTTCCACGKTTAATTTGTCAGGTACTTGTCGAAGGAGAAGCTGTTAGTGCTTTTGTTACAGGAGTATCTTCCTGACCTCACTCGGAATTGAAAATATGTTGAGAAAAAAGCAAATTTCTTCTGAAAGTTAAATATTCTTCTGAAGGCAGCTGTAAAATTTTTGAATGCTACAGAAATCTGTATTACCTTCTTGAAAAGACCAGGAAAAATGGATAAAGCTGCAAGGTGTTAACGACTAGTAAGTGGGTACACGTTACTTAAAGTAGTAAAATGTAACAGACATGACTGGAAGTGGCAGAAGTATGAGAGACAGCAGTCATTAAGAGGCTAGCAGAAAGAACAGAAAAGATAAACTGGRTTGCAGAAGTCTTGGCTGTCTTAGAAAAGTGTGTGACAAAAATACTTGGGACGCAGGAATCGAAAAATATTTTGGCAGTACCATATCTTATAAGGAGATCTGAAGACATATTTTCTTAGCATTAGCCTTTGTCGTCTTCACAAAGAGAGACGATTTCCCAGTGCCGGGGTCTGTGGACAGTTCTTTCAATTGCAACTTGTTACTGAAGGAAGTTTTGTTGCTCCAAATGTTTCAGTCCCATAGATAATGATTTCTTGCTTCTCTGATTTAAATCCAGGGTTTGTTCCGGTCTTCTTCCCACCGAGTTTACTCAGAGGGATGATAGCTCGTGTTGTTTAAGGAYATCGTGCTGTGGATTTCCTTCAACAGAGTGGCGGGAGCTGGGAAAAGGGATGAGACGAAATACAGTAATAACTCTCTCTACTAGTTGCGGCGATGGCCCTACTTTCCCTCTCCAGGCTCTAGCTGTCTCCTAGGAAGCCCCAGAGCTACTCTTGAGTTTCTGTATCCTCCTGTGTTTTTCTTCTAGGGATCAAACTTGTTACCATGGTCCCTTGGAGCCTGGCACGTAGGAGGATAAAGCCGCCCCCCAGCCGTGTTTTAGAGGTCTAGGGAGAGGCTGTCCGGAAGCCCAGGGTCCTTCCCATGGCAGGCGGCCCCTGCCCTCCCTCGGGCACCTGCACCTTCTCAGCCTTCGGGGAAGTTCATCGCTGGCGCTTCCCCCGGTTCCCTTGGTCTCGTCTCCCGCCCTGCCCGCAGCCATCGGGGGAGGCGCTGCCCCGGGCGCCCTCCGCTCCCCGCAGCGCCACTCGGCGCGACCCCCGCGTCTCCTCCGCTCGCCCCGGCTTCCCCGGGCTGCCTTTGCCGCCCGCAGGACCCCGCAGTTGCTCCCTGCTCGCACTCGGGCTGCGGGGGGCTGTTCCCCCGTTCTCCCCTGAACAAGCCCCTCCCGAGGCAGCCGTCCGGCCGTGTCCCCAGTCCCGTCCCGCTAGGCACGGTCCGGCGGCAGCTCCCATCCACCGGCCCCTGCCTCCGCCTCCTTCGCCCGTCTCCTCCCGCCCGGCTCCGCGCAGCCGCCGCCCGCCGGGGCGGAGGGTCCCGGGGGGAGGGTCCCGGCGCCTGACGGTGCCCCGAGGCGGGGCGATGATGCGAAGCCGCCGCCTCCGCGCTGCCTGCGGCCGAGGGGGGAGCAGTGGGACGAGGCGCGGGGTTGCTGCCGCCGCCGTCGCCGCCTCCAGAGCAGCGAGAGCCGCCTGCGGAGCGCGGGGTGCCCGGCCCGGGGCCGCCCGGTGAGCGCCGCCGGGGGAGGGGGCGAGGGGCGCGCAGGGACGGAGCCGGTGGCCGGGGAGGAGGAGGTGGAGAAGGCGGCGGAGCCGTGGCTGCTTCTTTGTGGCAGGAAAGTTTCGGTGCGGCCGCCCCGCTGCCTGCGTGCCTGCCGGAGGAGGAGGAGGAGACCCGCTCTCCGTGCGGGGCCCCGCCTGCCCCGGCCACTTCGGCAGGGGGGTCGTTCCCCCCCGTGTCCCTCCCTGTCACCGGGTCCCGGCCCCTGGCAGTGCCATCTTTGGGGCCCGGGCCTCTCGGGAGCCGCGGCGGGGACGGGGAGCCGAGCGCGGGTCGATCTTTCGGAAGGGTTTTGGGGGTGTTTTGCTGCCCGGGTGCGATCCCGGCGGAGCGGAGAGCGATGCTGAGCCGGTGCYGCCGGGGTGGCTGCGGGAGAGGAGCGGCGGCGGGTGGAGGTCCTGCTCCGCGGGGGCGCCACGCCGGATAAAATGTGGGAAAGCAGCGGTCGGTGAATCGGAACTGGAGCGGCGGGGGAGGCCGGGGAAGGGGCACCCGGAGCCCGGAGCGCATCCGAGGGGTGCGTGTGGAAGCGGCATCGCTCCGGCCCCGCTCCTCGGGGCGCTTTGTGTAACGCAGCCCCGGCCCGTGCCCGGCGGGAGCACGCCCGGATCGCTCCCCTCGCCAGGCAGCGTGCTCGCCTCGGCTCCCGCGCTGGGATGCGGCACCCGCCGGGGCYGTGCTGCTGGAAGGAAGCGTTCCTGGCTCCGGATAGCAGCGAGGGAAAGCGGTGACCCCCAGCTGAGGGAAAAGATCCCGTGTTCTCCGTGCGTGCAGGGGTCTCCCCAGCCCTGCYGGGTACACATGGCGGTGTGCCCAGCACAGCGAGATTCAGAGGCATTTAATAACCATTGTATAAAAACGACTAATCGGTCGCAGACTTTCAGTGTCCAGATCGTGCCTTCTTTACGTATTYTCCACTTTTTTGCTCATTGAGGATGTTGGGTTTTGTAGTTCGTAAAACAGAAAAACATCTTTAGATACCAAAAGAAAGCAATCCAGTGCTCCATTAGCATTCTTTCACTCTTAGGAGAACAATACAGGCTCACTGTATGCTTGCCCAAACATGGGCTGCCTTTTATTATATATTGGTACAGTGCCTGGTGCAATAGGTCCTCTTTTTGGCCCCGTTCATATGCAGAGCACAAGTAAAAACTCAGGGGGACACTGCTAATCGTGATATATTTGTCACAAATACCACCTGCCAGCAGGCTGGGTTTTCACAAAGGGAGAAAGGTGGAATGCTTTGAACAAACTCGGTTCCTCTGAAGTAGCAGATGCTCGTTGTCTCTTGCTGACCTCAGACACTTGCTTGACTCTTGAAAGTTACGTTGTTCAAAGTGTCTGGTCCTTTTTTTTTGTAATGTTGGTGTCCATTTTGTTTTTAAAGTTTACAACTTTGTGATTGAGTTGGAAGCCAGTGTGGCATCTGAGGGTTGGTGTGAAAACAACTGCATTAAAGATGACAGGGGCAATTTACCTTGTAAAAGGTTGCTATATGGCCTTGGTCCTACAGACCTGTGTGTACCTGAGCCTGAGGAGATCCTACACAAAACTCATCCCTCTACTTTGGCATTTGCAAAATTAGATCTTCTTTAGTGGGTTTTCTCATCCCAGGTGGTTTTTTATCATCRCTGCTTATGGAATATCATGTCTGATAGTGCAAACTTGAGATTGCTCGCCTCAAGTTTATTGCAGTTTTAATCCAAAAGTGCAATAGCAGGAAGCTTTGTATAAACAAGTTAGCTGAAGGAGAAGGGGCTGAGTTTGTTGTTAAGTACCCCAATTTGATCTTTTTTAAAAAATATTCATATTTATTGAAGGAATTGCAAGGCGGGAATAGAATGGAATTTGTGTTCCAATAGTTTTTTCAGTGGCTGGTTTTTATTTCAGTGCTGGTTGAAGAACTTGTGAAAATTGCTCRCCTTCAGGAAACATGAGGTCACAGTACATCACAGCACCTACAGTCACGGTCCTTCTGTTCCTGCTGTGGATCCCCTCATCAATGGGCTGCAATAAGGCACTCTGTGCCAGCGACGTCAGTAAATGCCTGATACAGGTATGAGCCGTGTGTCCTTTATCTGCTTTTGAGTGTTCAAGTAACAGTTCTGAAGCTGYGTCTAGAAAAGATCCAGGGATACAAATAACTGGTATTTTATGTTAAGTAGTATCTCTTTAAAGAGGTGGGTTTGGTCTGCTGCCCATATAAATGCAGATAAACAACCATTTTGTAGACAGAGAATACCAAGTGCATGTTTCTATGGGCATGTTTCTTTTTTTTGTTTTTATAATTGAAACTTTTTCAAGCCAAGGATYGTGTCTGTCTGGAATGTTTCTCTTAGCTTGCAAATGAGTTCCTTAAATCTCAAGCAGAGGATCAGGAGTCAATGCCTGATGTTCTCCATAACATCAAGTTTGTACAGTGAATTAAAAGATGCCTAAAAAACAAACCAAACCAAATACTTATGAGCTGAACTGGTAGGAAATGGATGTTAAATTCAGATGCTGCTTTTGACTCACTGCATGTCTGTGCAGTGAAAGAAACAGAGTGAGACCAGGTAGTTCTTCTTAGAGCAAGAGTTAAGGTAGTTTTTCTTAGAGCAAGAGTTAAGAGGTGTGGTGTGCAACAGAACAAAAGGGCCTTTTCTAGCAAAATGGCAAGCAGTTCTGGTAGCTACCAAGTATTTTTTGACTAATGGTACGTGGAGCATTCTTCTTGATTCCAGACAGGAAAAAAAGGAGGTTTCATGTGGTCGGCTGCAGCCTCTTTAAAAGCAGTTGTTTCCTACTGTCTCTTTGTAGATTGGAAATGMAGTAACAGAGAGTACAAATGTCATATGGCAATAATGTGTGAGTGTGCTGACTGTAAATGCATGGTCACAGCCTGAAAAGAGATGSAGAAGTGGCCTCAAGCATTTCCATATTTATTTCATTTCATTGACTTCAGTTTAAAATTTGTCTGGGTTACAAATAAAAATACTTGCCAGATTCACAGATCCGTKCTGTGGAACAAAGACTGACTGCAGGCTGAACCATCTTCTTTCTGGCTTCTACACTGCCATTGCTTTAAAAGTAAAAAAAAGAAATTGCTGCTGCTTCCAGCCCCACCACAGTCTGTGGAGTTGTTAAATACAGGAGACTTCTGATTTTAAATACAGAATGAGGCTTCTGATTTTTACCTTTTCAAACAGTGGTCCAATGGTTTAGCTGGCATGTTGGACACTGTGCACTGTGACAAAATGATGCATGTATAAGCTCCTTCTCTTGCATTTTTTTAAAATCAGATGTAAGGTAGAAACATGCTAAGTAAGAAGTAACATGCTAATTGTGGCATTGGATGTACATGGCACTTAAATAGTAAATCAGTGSTACAGATTTGTTGATTCAGGGGAAAGCTGTTGGTCCAGGTGCTGGATTTTGGCTCTGGAAGCTATTGGTCTGCTGCTTGTTTTTCTGTAAGCAAAGGAGAGGACGAGGAAGATGTGCCTCSTTTTCTGGTGCCACATGGATGGAGTCCACCATCCATGAAAGAACAGACAAGTCAATCTTGAGAGAGCAAGCATTTAAACTTTATTTTTATGAGCTAATGTGAATAGAGCACAGCCCAGAAGAGGTGGAGTTAATGCCACTGGAGTTCTTACTAAGCTGGCAGCAAATGGCTGAGGTTCAGCAGTGCATGGAAATGGCACATACAACTGCACTTTCTTTGGATTATGTTGACGTTCTGTAGCAACACAGCCCTGTGCATGCAGAGACACCGGTGAACTGYTTTACTTGGTGTAGGTGTGTTCTCTCTTACTTTGTACAAGTGATGTGGAATCCCTTTTTAAAGCATCTCCCTAAAATCAAAATCATATGCAATTCTCAGAGACCCTAAAGTAGCCCAGGCTGTGTGAGTTGTGTGCCGTTTCCAGRGAATTGCACTGTTCATTTTTACTGTCTGGCTGCTGTCTTCCTGCACACAGGCCTGACTTACCAGTCAGTATTCATTCTTTATAGAAGAACAGATCAGGTCAGACTAGTCTGATTGTGGATATAGAGTATCCTAAAGCCCTGACTTAAAGCAATTGTCATCTTTCCTCTTGKCCTTTTTGTTTGTTTTAAAACCTCRRTGCTGTTGTGGCAGAAGTGCTGCACTGGTATATGAAGTGCATGTTATTTCCCAGATAGATATGCAAGTAGATTATATCTATGTACTTTTTCCCCCCTCTAAACTCCACTGGAGAAATCTGAATTTAACAATAAAATGCCATCTTGATGCAGGTTGCTTGACTAKCGCATGACATTTTTCCCTCACCGACTTTTATCCCTGTTCAAGTTTGGCAAAATCCATGTCTTGAAACCAAGATAATGTCACTCAGAGACAACTGAGGGAGCAAACAGATTGTGAGTGTTTGTCATCTGCATCTGTGTGCGAGGCTGCCTGTCCTGCAGACAGAGAGACAGAGACCCACTCCCTCTAAAAGCATACAGTTAACATAAATATTTTTGCCAGCATGGCTGGAAGTCAGTACAGTCATTAYTACCACTCCTTAAGAGCTGCTCTGCTTAAGGGTGGTCCCCACACAAATATTTATTTTGTTAGATCCACAACAGTGCATGAGATCAACAACTTGCATGGATTCAGCTTTCGCTTTGCATCCTGGSCTCTGGCTTCATTGGTGCTCCTCTTTTTTTCCATAAGCAAAGGCCTGTAAGAAAATAGCTTTAGGCATCTCTCTGCGTAAGCTCAGCCTCTGTGAAGAAACTTTGTGGCTTCCTGTAGTTGTTGAGGGAGCTGGGGGTAAAAATTGAGAGTGTAGGGGGTGAATCCACAAAATTAGTTCCCTTGAAGGCTCTGGCCAGAGCTCCTTCCCATGTCCCGGGGAGTGGAGCGTTGGAGTTGGTGAGTGCCCGCTGCCGTGCTCTCCAGGACGCGTGTGTCGCAGTGTTTATTGCAGCACATCTGTTGTGCACTGGGATGCGTGGGTTGCCCTGGTGTTTCCATGTGTGCAGAAGATGAAAGGGCCAGTTGTGCTCACTGGGTGGAGGGGAGGTGTATATTTGTGTCCTTGMAATGTGGAGGAAATCCTTGAAGGCAGAAACCTCCAGGATGAGACGTTCCCACAATTGTTCATAGCAAATGGGTTTCAGGCGAGTCCCAGGTTGGCTCTTGTGGTGCAGAGCTCCCTGCAGGAGTCAGCCTGGGATGGAATGTCCGTGTTGGGCTGGAGGCTGGGCTTTGCTCTCATCTGCAGCAGTGCTTTAAACTGCTGCTCTGTGTACGAAACAAATGGTCTTATAATTCAGGCGTGGGTTTATAATCCTTAAAAAGAGGGGTTGTTTTGTGAGGAAAAAAGGGTTTTCTCTCCCAAACTCTACAAACCTGCAGCCACCTCAGCTGGTGCGGTACCATTCCAATTAAAATCTCTTTTCATCTSTCTTCTTCGCCTCCTATTAATCTTGTGTGCAAACTTGTCAGCCTGAAAGGATTTCCAAGACTTTTTAGCCCTGTGGTATGAAATAAATGCCACTCCTTAACTTCAGGGCTTCARCATCTAAAAATTGCTTTCAGTGTGCATGTTGTAGCTGCAGTACGTAACCCAGTTGGGTTAACAAAACAGTTCTGGTTGGTTTGCTTCCAGATTTTGTGTTATTATACTGTTCTAAGGGAAAAAAAGCTTGCTTTCTTTCACTCCCTCTTCCATTTTGCAGAGAATGTTTCCAGTGCCCTCAGGTCCTGCTTCTCCCTGCACCAAGAAAATACTTTCTGGAATTTCAAGAAAGCTGTGGCAAAAATGCAGATGTTAAATATCCTCTAAAAATTTTCGTTTGCTCGCTGGAGCAAGAGTATCTTTATTGTACAAACATACTTCCTACTTAATACTATATTTTTAAACTGTGAGGCKTATTTCTTGCCTAGCAAAATAGGTTCTTCCATGCACCTTCAGTAGTTCAGCTTGGGAAGTTGCCAAGTTGAYTTATGAGTAATATTTTCTTCCACTGAAGCCTCACCACCCCCAGCTATCAACAAGGAACRTTCCTTATTCTGCCTCGCTTCACCCACGTCCCATGTAAGCATTCTTTTAAAAAGATGTGTCCTGTACCAGTATCCAGTGTGGATGAGTCAGGCMGGAGGACTCAAAACTGGTTAAGGAATCCATGGATGTGCAAACAGATCTATGGAAAAGTTGTTGCCCTGAAGTGGCCGAAGACTAATTAATTARTCTGTTCTTTCTTGCTTCCTCTCCCTCCAAATTTAAAATAAAGAAATAATARTAMAAAAAMMCCAACCAAACCCCTTAAAAATTACATTGCTCATAAGTCCTTCTGATAAAAACAAACTTCTTACAATACTGTTGCGTGTAATGATGCTGTCCCCAAGTCAGTCCTTACACACGCAGATGATAAGCAGAATTTTTTGTTAACATATTGCAAGTGCAGAATTTAAGGTTACATCTAATTCTTTGAGGATATTCTTCCATAAAACTGAAACAACTTGAGTTTAGTGAATTTTCTAGCTTTTATTAATGCCTTACTTTTAATGGTTTAGTGAGAATTGCTTCCTCCCACATTTTGGCCTGTTGCTGTCTTTCTAAAGTAAAAGTTGTTTGCCTGGTTTTACGGTTGAAGAATAAATTGGATTTTTTAATGCTAACATGTATTATTATTATTCTCTGGCCAGACTAACAGTACTTGTGGTTATTTTTAAAAGTTGTTTTATTCAGGCTTTTTATTCTAAAGGCTGACAAAATCTGTTTATCAAATGGTAAGATAAATATTTTAGAAATCATCATTCATTCACATAAGTCATCTTTCTAAGTTTGCGGTGTCTCCTCTTGTGGAAAAATGTATATATTTTGTTAATCAGCCTGGTTTTCATCTTTAACTTGGAAACAGCACAGTTTATGTGGAAACAGTGATAGGTGCYATTCATAAATTTTGAGGATGAAAAGGTAATAAATCTTGATAATTTTCCACTCTGTAAGTAAAAATTCAATACTTACCAGGGCTGCATATTGCAGAAATGCGTGTGGAGCAGGGGTTCACTCTCAGTCAGTCATTGGGATAAATAAGTCACAATCAACTGTGAGCTCACTTTGCAGGATACGTTGGTGTCTGCCTGACACAGCTGAGGTGGAGCCATGGGTGGTGACTCCAGGATAGGAGAATTTCMAACCAAACCACCTTCCTGCCCTTCTCTCATGTCCATGCACGTCTTCTGCACTGTGCTCCTCCCTCTGCCTCTGGAGAAGAGGATCAAGGAGTGGGGCTGGGCCTGGCCTGGTGTGTAACAGGGATTTGCCAATGGCCCTTCCAGTAAAGCCAGGGGTGGAAGGATGCCGTGGTCAGTGTTTCCAGTAACGGGATTTTGTTTTCTCCCCAGTTGTGTGTAATGTGATAGTTACACCAACGTCATCAAAACCAAGTTCTTAGACAGGACAACCAGAGGGACTTCTTGTCTGTGTTTTGCACTATGATGTAATTCAAGGCTGTGAATTATTGTCTTGTAGCCACARTCTTTTGGCCAAACCGGAACTGCTAATATGGATTTGAGCTAGAGGGAAGGAGACCACCTAGTTTTTACATATTCTTCATCCATGCATGCTTTGAGGTCCCTAAGTGTGTATCTCCAGCAGGACTGTTGAACCAATTCCTTTGGGTTTAGGTAGTATCAAGAGAAAGATTTATCTTTTTGCTTCCAAGCCTTTTCCATCTTTTTAGATTGCTAATGGTTAAAGAAAACTATGTATGTGTGTCATTTCACTTTCCGGAGGCTCTAGAATTCTTATAGGTGTATCCCAAGGTGTCAGTGTGGAGGAAGGAAGCATAGGGTTGTTGTAATGGCAAAATGAATCATCTGGACCTGGGTGGGGGAAAAATCTGGTCACTAATGTTGCAAACGGAGAGCAATGTGTAACAAGCGTTTGGAGATGTAGAAAATCCTGTGGTCAGACTACTGAACTGGGTAAGTTTCTCTTAGAATCCAGGGATAGGTGTGACATCGTGCATGTCTTGAGTAGGCACATGTGGCTTATAGTAGCTTTCTTTTTTAGCTAAATTATAATGTACGCTCACTATTTATATATAAAGAAACATCCTTCTTTGAATTTCCTGTTGTGATGAGAAAAACATTCAAAGAACTTGTACATTTAGGCATGCATGCACAGAAATGCACACACATTTCCCATGAATAGGATTTTTTGTCTTTTAAAAGCTGACTTCAGATTTGTCTTCAGAATGTCAACTTTAGGGCAAAATAAAAAGGCCAACTTGCAAAAGATCCTTTTGTAAACTCAGATCGGTTCYTTGGCTGGAGCCATTTCACCGTTTACTCACTGTATTAGTGTACTAAGCTTTTTTAATGCCCTAATTTGAGTTGTGGCTTGAGAAAAAAATGCTCTGCTGTGTAGTTATTTTRCATCTGGGATTGCTGCAGTGTAATGAGTGTCTGTTGGTTCCAGGAGCTGTGTCAGTGCCGCCCTGGGGAAGGGAACTGTTCCTGCTGTAAGGAGTGTATGCTCTGCCTGGGCACACTTTGGGATGAGTGCTGTGACTGTGTTGGTAAGTTTGCATYTTTGGGGGATTTTCTGCTTTTTTTATTTTGCTCTCTCCTGCCACATGCTGAGCTCACAATCTTAAAATAGAGGTAAAACACTGGGACAGAATCTGTGCTTTAARCATCTTACAGCTCATTGTGTGGGTACAGAATAAATTACTGTGGAGACCCAAACATCCATCTGAAGGCTGTGTCTGCTCTGTGGAGCTGGGGGTGGCAGTAGTCCGGGTATTGCTTGTTAAATGTCATAGCTGACTATAAATTTTGTCTCTTGAACACAAAACTCCTTTTTGAATTGTTGTCTTAAGGATACTCCACAGCACCTGCTTCCTGGGTTGGATGCTGTGTGAAGGTTTCTACCTGTAAAGGGTGCATTGATGGGTACAGTGCTGGGACACCTTCAGGATTGAGTTGGGATTGCTAGAAAATATGATGTCCTAGTGTTTTCACTTTTATTTGCAGAAAGAACTCTTTGTGAAGGTAAAAAAGAAGCAGACAAGGTCTTACCTAGGACTAGATGAGTCTTAACAAGAACATTGCTACTATCAGGTGATGTTCAGAGTGCCCAGATCTTTGCATGTGAATGCTGTCCTTGCTTAAGGAGGTTGCATTCTAGCTCTGTCTCTTGTTTTAAATGAGCTTCATCCTCTTGTGGTTGTTATAAGTCTTCCCGTGCTGCAATCCAAAAATTCCATGAAAGAGATGCATCTTGAGTGTTGTACCTGCTCTCAGCTTTTCTAGGTCGGTTTTCAGAGAAAGGTGATTCATGAAGGTGATTAGTGTCAAAATGCCCATTTTCAGTGCGGGTTATTTCCCCAGTTTAGAACCATTATCCGCTGTAGAAAGCAAGGTATGAGTGTGCTGATGTCTAGGGAGAGGAAGAACCTACGTCTTGGTATTGTGAAGTCCACACAGGAACTGCTTTTTATAAATCTACAGGTGACTGTAGATCCCTGTTCAATCCCTGTTCTGCTGCTCTTTCCMATAGTGTTTTCCAGGAGAGGAGTTAACAAGGTTTTGGGTTCAGATTCCCAGTACTAAGTAAACTAAAACATCTCCTGATGATCCTTTGGCTGCCTCGGGCCTTTTTGAATTCTATGGCATGGTCCTATTCTTCTTCTCGTCAGTGTAGGATCATCCTTGCTGCAGCCTTATTCAAATGAGGAAGCAGGAATGTATGCCATACCTGACTTCCTACAGACAGTTCTTTGCTGATACTTGAGCTGATATTTCAGTTTCTTTRTAAGCTGATCATGTCCATTGTAAAAGCAGATAAATTGTTGTGTCTTTCAGATCATGTCTGCCCTGAGGTCAGGAATTACCTGCTACTCTCCACCACTAACTGTGCTGGTGATTACTTGATGTTTTGTGTGGATGTTCTCCCTTCTCTTACAGGGAGAAACATTCTGGAGGAGGGAGAAYAGCAACAAGTCCCTTTTCCCCTTTGAGTTAGGCTCTTCTAGTCCCTTGTATAAAGGCTTGTCTGCTTCCATCATTTCGATAGCCCATTTTTGCATTTTCTCATCCATTCCAAAGCAGTAGTGTAGACACATTTGATCCTTACAGGTTGCTCATGAGTTAAACTTTTTTATTTTCACTATAACCAAAGCTGCTATTTTATATTTGTTATATAAAAATATTATTATAATGCAAGTGCTTTTAAAAACAGTAAGAGTGAAGGATTTTTGTTGATGAGCATTTACCCATTAAACTATGAGCAGTGGTTTTTTGGTTCCATCTTAAGGTAATACTCTCATACTGTATTGATATGCACACAAACTTGTACACTTTCTGTAGGATTTTGATAATCTTTATGGGTTTTTTCCTCCTGCGTGTCCTTCATATCAGTGACATTTATTTTCTGAATCCAGCCTAGAAGAAGTCTGATCTGACAGATCTAGAAAGTCCCACTGTTGTCTGTTTCCTAGCATTAATACAATGACATCAACTAAAGCATACATCCCTCAATGTACCTGTACAAAACTCTTATCTGGTTTGATAACTTTCTAATTGATTTTCATGTGGGTATCTATTATTACAATTTTGTGGCTAATACAGTGCTTATTAAAGTATGGTTAATATTAGTGCTTACTGAAAGGTGATAAGGCAGGAATATAAATCTTTTATTAAAGCAGTAAGGCCAGGAAGGTCTGTGAAGAACAAACCTAGTTCACAGGAGCAGAAAAACAATCATTTACAGTAGSAAGTTTGAATTAAGTGGAATTACTATTTAGTGTGACCTGATGTTGTTTGGAAAAGAGGCTTATTTTTTTCCTACTTTGTATTTGGCTCGCCCTTTTACAGGAGCAGACTGTCTTGGAGTGTTCCTATTACCAAATGCTGGTAATGCTAACCACTTAYTTTAGATTTGCTAGGCCTCATGCTAATTATCATGGACAAACTTCCCTCTRCTTTGTTCATTATGGAAATCCATTTACTTAGGTTGAGAAGATTATGGGTTTGTATAAGGCTCTAGTTAACACAATTATTTCTGAATCTGGAGTCCTAGTGGATCTACAGGGCAGGAGATACTTCTGTGGTTGTGTGAGGCAGGTAGACTTTGAACATTCATGTCCCATATTGCTTTTATTCTTCAAGAATTTGTGTGCTKTGCAGCTAAAACTGTGTCTGTGAAACTACCCAAAATTATAACCAGATGTACATGAGGAAAATGGTGACTTCTGAAAGTGTTTTATGGCTYCTGAGTTTAAAATACCTGTGAAGATACAAAGTTTCTTTTTAAATCTTGGTTGTTTCCATGCTTGATTAAGTTGAGATACCCTTCAGTTTCATTGCTCTTAATAAATGTTAGTGTTTAAGTGGTTAATGAAAAACTGGCAAGGGCATTGCATGTCACATAAACATTTTGTAGAAACTGGTGAAGTGAAAAAAGATTACAAGGTTTCAAAAAAGCTACTGCAGAAGACTTTGAAAAATGAGAAAGAGGTAACCTRGAAATGAGTTGTGATCCCTCCAGCTAAGTAGCAAAATTAGGTTCATCTTGGCTGTCTCTACACAGTGAAGTGATTCAGACTCATGCTCCCTCCTGATAGCGATCTTTGCATCTCTGGCAGACGACTAAAAAGATCCAGTGCACTGCTGCAGCAGATGAGATGGAATACTTGAATTGTGATCAAAAGTTTCACCTACCTCAGGCTTGTCAAGATACTCCCTTCATTCAGTCTTAGCCTTGAATTCCAGGTTTATGCTACCATCAATTATACTGTGCTTTGTCTCTTCTCCCAGGGAAAACAAAGCWTCCACTGAACCTCCATTTTCTAAGCTGAAATGCTAACACTAAAAGGGAAGCAAAGTGCTGTGTAAATGAGGCTTCTTTTCACAAGTCACAGGTGTGTTTTGTGGAAGTCTGAGCAATCTGAAACCTGCAGTTATGCTCGTCCAGCTGTTTTTGATAGCACTTCTGCTACTGGGCTAAGAGTGGGATAGATATGAAGGAGTTCTGTTTTGTTCTGTTCCGAAAAAAAAGAGGCAATTTTAATTCTCTAAATATTCTGGCCTGTTTCAAGAAGAAGAGCTTAGGGAGTTCTGTGTAATTTTCTGTTTCATTCCTCTGCAGGTATGTGCAATCCTCGCAATTACAGTGACACACCTCCAACATCCAAGAGCACTGTCGAGGAGTTGCATGAACCAATTCCTTCCCTTTTCCGGGCACTGACAGAAGGGGATACTCAGCTGAACTGGAATATYGTTTCCTTCCCTGTGGCAGAAGAACTATCACACCACGAGAACCTCGTCTCCTTTTTAGAAACAGTGAACCAGCCACAGCATCAGAACGTCTCTGTTCCAAACAACAATGTCCACACACCTTACTCTAGTGACAAAGGTAATGAGTGTAGTGTCTAAATCCCTAGCATTTCCTCTTGTCTCTTCCAGGAGCCTTCTCGGTGCATATCCTATGCTTCTCTGTGCTTACTTCTTCTTTTCCCATAAGAATGTGTGAAAGGTTCAGCCTAATTTTGAGCCTGACGTAACAGAAGGAGTGAGGCAAAGGTGTTGAGGAACGTGGAAGATGGTGTTAAAATGACTGATGATCTTAGGAGACATTGAACCACGTGAGTTTATCTCTATAATTATTCCTGTGGCATGAAGCAGTTTGTTCATGTTATTTCATGTGCACTGGCATGGTGTGTTCTCTGACCTAGAAACAGTTACCTGTAGCTTGGGAGACGGGACAGACCAGAAATTGAATCCAAATCATGTATCAATGCAGAGGTRGGTGACTGAAACATGGCTTAAGAGGTCTAAGAAAGCCACATGCCGTAAGCACCTATATCTGGAACAGTTGTTTATTTCTTTCATCTGAGCTGGCATAACTTGAAATCTTTCAAAGGATGTTTYGTATGAAATCCAGGATTAATAGTAAATCTAAGCAAGATTAGAAAGATGGATGAAGAAATGGTATGTGACAGACTGTCCTCAAAATAAGCAGCTTGGTGGTAGGGGTTCAACTTACAGATTCATTCCTTACTTTATATGAAGTTTTTTATATTCTTCAGTTTACAGACTTCAYAATATTGAGGGCTGTGGTTGAGTCAGGGGAAAAGGAGAAATTTGAGGTAGWGTCGACAGTGGCGTAAGAAAAATACTCTCTTTTTCTTCGTTTCCATACTAAACCTGAAACACTTCCCTGCAAATCATTACATCASACTTTAAAGAATCTCATAAAGAGTTCATAGTGAAATTGCTGCTTAATAGGGGAAAAAGAGCATCTGATTTGTTTTATTAGTGCAATTAATGCTTTGCTTCCTTCCCAACAYGGACTTTAAATATTTGTAACCCCATATGTTTCTGTTGTGATGGCCCTTTTATCTTATCAATAAAAGACAYTCTAATTGATGGACATGCTGCTTTTCCATACCAGGATGAACCATTGACCTAGTTGTGTTTCTGAGTAGGACTGCTGTTGATTAAATGSAACCATGATGGTAACTTTTCTAATTTCCTTTGGCTAAGGCACACTAGAAAAATAAATTAATTCCAGAGCTAGGAAACCAGATGGTCAGAAAGCATCTCATTCATATGTCTTTGATGTTATTAAAACACTTGCTTGCTGTTATGAGAATTATGTACAAAGCCATGTAAAATAGAAAGCCACARAAAGCCCTGTGTGCAAAGACTACAGTACTTAGAGTTATAAATTAAACTGAGGGGGAAAAAATTATGTTTTGTACAGTCTTGAATGTATCCCACTGTAGGTACTGCAACCCAGATGGCTGTTCTCTGACAGTCCTTCACYACCGTACCAACAGGATGGGCTAATGATAGTTTTGGATTAAACTTGGAATTTGAATTGCATCTCCAGGATGTGGAGCAGTTTTGAGTTCAACAAAGCAGACAAATACAAAACACTGAATTTTTTTCTTAGTCAAAAGTCTCCTTCATTTCATTTACTAGGAACGTATTTGAGATTAGGTTGAGAGAGCTCTTGCTGGAATGATGACAGTCCAAAAACAACAGTTATATTTGGAAATAGTTACCAAATGCCACTGGCTTTCAGGCCTCAGCAGACACTTAAAACAGAAATAAATGTCAGAGCTGTTCTTGTAATCATTGGCTAYGCTTTCTCCATCTTAATGACCAGTGAAGAACTGGAAAAGATAGAAAATTAATTTCCATACCCTATACTTAAAATATCTAAATATGTAAGCCTGGTAAAGAGTCTATTTTCTTGGTCACAATGTAGATAACTTCACAAAAGGTTTATTAAATTTTGCTTTTAAAAATATTGATGATTTGCACATTGAGCACAGAGGAAGTGGAAAAAAAATTAGGAGCTGGCCTTGGTGAGTTGGTGTTTATTCTGGTGGAAGCAGGACAACTGGGGAATTGTGTTGGATGTTATGTGAGCCATGAGGTAGCATTGTTTTTAATACTATTTTGTTGAGTTCATTGGGGAAGCAGTAATCAAAAGGTGGAGTAGCGGGTCAGGAGCTGAAAAGCCTCATGAGCATGGGCACAGAGAGGGAGCCAAGGGAGTCCCTGAAGCCTGATGGCTTCTGCCCATGCAAAGTGCAGTCACACAATCARGTCACTGGTTTCACAAGCTGGTAAGTGTTAGAAGAGCCACTGAAAAAGGCRGGGGAAGTMTGTGAATGYGTATGTGTGTGCTCAGTGGCAATARACACAAACAGCCTCCAGTGGGAGAAACAGACCATGTCTTTACCCTTTCCTTCTCCCCAGAAATGCTGCTAGGCTTAAGGGCAGGTCTTGCAAATGGAGATGTCCTTAAGGTGACTTGCTAAGCAGTTGTCTTCAGGGCTGTGACAATCAGGGATTTGAAAGAATATTCCTGTCAGCAAGAACACAGATGCCTTATGTTTTCTTTACAGTGCTGTGCCTCCTCCATTTTGTGGTTCTTCTGTGGCTTCTTGCATGCTTCCCTCCAACATGGTGTGCTGGCAGCAGCCGATGGCATGGCCTGTAAAGGGAGAGGGGCTAATGAGAGGTGGATTTTGTCGGGGTACAGTGGTGTCTGTGCTGTCTTCTGGAATACATTCCAAAATTTGGAAAGGCTCTGCTTACAAATACCCCATGTCACGTAGTGTAATGCAGCTCTGATTTTAGTTTTACTGCGCGTTCTTGCAGGGATYGCTGTTAAGCTGGGCCAGGGTGCCAGACTTGCTTGATGCAGTTCTGGGTGAGTGCCAGGAAAAGCAGCACCAGCCATGGGAACCATGAGCTTTGTGCTTGAGTGGCGTGGAGCCACCAGCCCCGGGAGGGCGGCTGTGGATCCGGGAGAAGGTGGGGTGTGATGGGATATAAAGCATTCCTTTCTCACCCCAGCCTGCTCTGAACCCAGCTGCCAGACCTTGAACTTCCCCGTTATTTTCCTAATGAGTGTCTTCCCTTTCCTCCTGTGAATTGACTTGTAATGTTTTAGCTGCCAAAGTTATGCATGCRCTGCTGGAGCTGCTGTAGTTCTTTGTATCAGTTGTTTCTGGCACTTGAGCCTCATCTTCAGAGAGGATTACGATGTTTATTAATTTAGAGCTACATTTGTACTTCATTCTCTTTGCTTTACTTTTAGCTGATACCCTCAGAGCTCTGAACTGTGAGTTTAGATGTTTAAATAAGCTTAGCTGTTTCAGATGATGACAGGATGCTGGCAAGAGGGAGAGGGGAACTAGATAATTATTTGGCAGCTGATAAAACAAAAACTGTTGTAGTTAAGGTTTTCTGACTTAGACTGCTTGGTGACACAAGGGATGGTGTCTGCTCTGCAGTTCTGCTCCCCTCTAGTGCAACAGGGAGAGGAGAGYTAGAAATCTAGTGAAGAGACATCTGTCTCTGTAGGTAGTCTAAGAAGAGTTCTTTTTAAATAATTTTATTTTTATAAATTTTGATGGACATAAAATTGACTTGTCCAAAAGCAGTAGATTGTCTCAATTGATTGTTCATATTCAGTTGCAGGTTAATCTCCTTGTTCTCACTTTCCCCTCTTCCTGCTACTGCACTTGATGTCTTTTTTTTAAGTGGAAGATGTCCCTGCCAAGAGAAGAGGGGGAAGTGTAGATGATATTTAAGGTTCCTTCCAACCAGGCCATTCTGTGATAAGATAGTATGACTGCTGGATGGATAGTTACTTTTTTAAAGAACTTCCAGCGCTACCAATAAGCTGGCCAGCAGACAGCTGAAGTTACATAACGTTTAACTTCAAAGGCTACATACAGCAAATTATCTTTAACTGGGAAGGTACTTTGAGTTGCTAAATTCCTCTATATTACACCAATACAGACAGTTTTATGGCAAAGCCTGGTAGTTTTTTCTGTTTATTTTTAATTTAGACCTTGGTTGTTGTTTATCCTATGCAACCCTCACTGGGAGAAAATGTGAGAAACTAATATTCCGGAAAAAGTTTGCTGCTGCATCCTTCTCCCTCCCTGCACCTGCAGTCTGTGGTCCTTAGTGTGTGAAAATTGGCAAAATGCAAATGAGAAAGCTGTTACTGCACTGGGTAATRTTGTTTTTATCTACACTGAGGGATCCAAGTGATGACTCTAATTAGGTTTGTGAAACAGTTTAAATWCTCTCCCAGATCCCAGCTAAGCCTGTAGGTATGTATTTTTTCTGCTGTGTAACGCTCTATAGCCTATGGAGYAGGATTTTACAGAATCATTAGRGTTGGAAGAGACCTTCAAGATCTTCGAGTTCAACCCATGCCCTAGCACYTCAATTAAACYAGATTTAGTGCTTGAGRAGAAGAACTCTCTTGTTTTCAGGAATTCAGCCTCTACATAACCACAAAGGCACTGCAAGGAGGGGACTAGGAGTGCCCTGTGACAAAGTGCRCCTTGGCCAATCTGACTTGTTCAGACCTGGCAAGTCTGACAGTGAGCAAGACTTCAGAAGCAGTTTGGTAGGATATATGTGAGCATGTCCTCCAGCTGCTTACAAGAGCTACTTGGAACAAGATGGATCTACTGCTGGCTCTGGTCTGCCACATACGGTCTGCTCTCTCCCCTTCGCAGCATTTTTGTACTTGAGAACCTAGTCCTCTTGACTTGTGTGCAGGTGGAAACAAACTTCCTTCTCCACTCTCCAGTCAGTCAAGAGTAATGTTCTTGGTTGTTGCTACCATAATAAGGTTGAGTTCTGGCTTTGGTCCTGGGAGAGGGGTTCAGGAGACCAGTCTCCGCAGTCTCACAGGAGCTGACTGATGTTACCTAGGTTTGCCAGAGTTATAGGCCGGGTGCTGCTGCTCCTCTGGCCCCCTTTAAACTGAGAAATGTCTCTCAGCTCAGTGTCATTGATCTTTACATCCTAGAAATCACAGGCTCTCCTTTCCTACAAAGTTTACTTCAAGTTTCTGCAGGCATTAGCTGATGAATTGGGAGCTTCACYGGAGCTTCTGAAGCAGTACTAACACTGATGAGGTTGTCAGAGATTAGTKTAATATGAAGGTGAGCACAGATGTCTCCTTACACAGAAAGGACTGGACATTCTCTGGTGTGAAGACAGCCTGTAAGTGCTGGGAGCAGCTAGCACACCTCAGAGTGTGTACAGCTTTCCTGACAAGCTTCCCTGAGTACCTGGGCTTTCCTTTGTGTGTTGCAAGTTGTAGTGTATCGATCAACAGAGAGCAGTGAGTACTTCTAGCAATGCTTCGGATGGTTGCTTCTTTTAAGGAGCTGTTTCACTCCAGTCTGGAGATAGCTATGAATCATTTTGCCTTCTCAGGCTTATTGAGAGACTAAGTCAGTCAGGTGGAGATGGCATCCCCAAAGGTGATTTTGCAGGAAGAATACGCTCTAGTTTAGTCAGGATTGCCTGTTTCAGAGGCTCTGTGTCTCCAGCTGACACCCTCTAAGAATACGTATGGAATTTAAGGTCAAAATTAATGTAGTAACACTTCAGTAGAAAACTACTAAAAAGGTCTCAAAGGGTGAATAGAGATTAAGCAAAAGGATATAAAGACTATGAGTAAGGTGCAACAGAGGCTTCTATAAGGTTCTTGTGCTTGAACTCCAGCACTGAYTTGGATGACTGATGGGACATAAGAAATGCTGCCTGGAGGCTTGCTTCTACTTTCTCATYCCTACCCTTCCACTGAAAACTTCCTGTGAAGAGTGAAGGCAACAGATACCTGGGAAGTATCTGGACCTTCTGGGAATGGGTGGTGTGTGCTCCTTCTTGGGACCATGGCAATCTGAGCTTTTTGTCACTGGTGACGAAATATTGCCAAGTCCTTGTGCATTCCCCATAAAAGCTGGAGCTTCTGTCTGGACTCTGGATGTCTTCTTGCCTTTGAGGCTGTGATGGCTGCATCTCTCTACCTCTTTTCAGCTTTGTCTGAGCACTTGAGGCATGTCCCTATCACTGTTTGCACATGGTACTGTAGCATACACTTCAGTTCTTTYCTGCTCCTCTCTGTGAATCAAATGTCATTACTGAAGCTGGAGATATGTTGGTTGTTTTCAGGGAGAGGTTCTGTTCTCTGAGAACTCTATTCCTCTGGTTGCTGTGCCACAGGATTATTATAAGGGCTTATAGAAATAGAAGTGCCCAAGAATGGGACAGGACCTTCTTGCAGCTGTTTTGATAGCAGCAAAATAGTTTGACAGTGGTCARAATTGGTCACCAAAAAAACCCAAACMAAACCCACTGTCTTTATTTACCATTTAAGTTTCGATTACTTCTTTCTAATCTACGTTTCAGTGTGGATCAGTGGGTTTCTCCTAGGTACACCATGAGTAGTAATAGGCTGGAAAGCCCTTTGACATCTCCTGCTCCCAAGTTGGTCTAATATGCGTGAGACATTCATGTTTGCAGACAGGGGCCAGCTGTGCTTTCCCCAAAGTGTGCCAAGTTATGCTCTGGGTAAATGTTATGTGATCACAGTCCTTTGGAGGATGGACAAAGTTTTATGGTATAATCACCTGGTCAGTACAGAAGAAAGATGGTGGAATCTGTCAGTTTGGAGAATTAGAAGTGGACTGAGGGGAGATGGTTTTATTTTATAGTTGTGGTGAATGACTTTTGATATTGCAACACCAAACTTCAATGGCATTTCAAGTAATTAAAAGGTTGTTAGAAGCATGAAGTCAACACACAGGCAGAAGGGGGTTGTTAACATTAGAAGTAAAGCTGATGGTGTTGCTAAAAAAAAAAGAAGAAAAAATGTGCAATGTCATGCTCATGGAAACAGGATTCTCTAGGTCTGTGATTTAATCTGGTTGAAGATTATTGTGGAGTTTGGGAKGGGAGAAAGAAACATTTACATCCAAATAAGCAGGTTTTAATGGTTTTCTAAAATAACTTCTCTAAAGCTGAAGTTTTTTGTGGTAGCRTATTACCTTCAGAGGACACATTCCTGGTTGTAATTGTGGCTCATCACTACACTTTAGAGGGTATCTCTCATAACTGTGGGACAAAACTCAGAAACATTCTTGCCTGTGAATATAAGAAGCAAATTAATCCAGAAGGAGATCAGACAACAAGCWGAAGTTGTAGCTGCTGAAAATTTGAAGTTGATAGATTTTGCCTTGACTTTCTGCCTTGCCTCTGCTTTTACTGTCATCTTTTTCCTTATGCTTCATAGTCCTGTTGGTTTGCAATCATACTTCTAAAGCTGTGCATTTAATTATTTTTTAACTAAATTTTAAATGTATTTTAAGACCTTTTAAATTTTTCCCCTCTTGGTTTAGAACACATGTGTACTGTGGTGTATTTTGATGACTGCATGTCAATACATCAGTGCAAGATCTCCTGCGAGTCCATGGGAGCTTCCAAATACCGATGGTTTCACAATGCCTGCTGTGAGTGTATTGGGCCAGAATGCATCGACTACGGCAGTAAAACTGTCAAGTGTATGAACTGCATGTTCTGAAGCAGGAAAATTGTAATGTAACAATACTGAGGCCAAAGTAATCTCTCTTCATTAAAGAGACAGGGATTGCAAATACTGCGTTTTGGTGAAGTGCCTGCTGGTTGCAATTAAATGTATCTGGTTGAAAAAAGGATGTATAAAATCTGAAAACTTTTTTTTTTTTTTAAATTCATGTAAGCAAGGCTAACTAGTAGATGTTTGAACACTATGTTTTAAACTTATTTTTGTTTATTTCTGCTCAAATGGTACAGTCATGCTCATCATTGCTGTTCTGATTGTCTTCCTTTGATTTTAAAGTATTAACTATACTGGTATTCAGAATATAGTAYTCTATCTTGTAGTTTAGAGTAGGGAAACTTTTAGAATGTGGTAATGAGATTTCCATTATCTAAATTCAACAAATAAATAAATGGCTGCTAGGTTGGAGGGAGGGTAGAKGTTGTTTAGGGGCTGGGGTTTTGGGATTTGTTTTCTGGTTTTGTTTTTTAATTTTATTACCTTCCAGTTTTTGATGTTAGCTTTTTGTTGTGAAAATGGTGTTTGGAGAAAAATAGAAATTCAWGCTTTCTCTTCAAGTTCAAAGCATGGGCTGTCATGGATAAAATCCTAACTTCTTAGAAGGGCTGCCCAACAAAACACTATGTATAGGACACTTTTCTTCCAAGTTTCATTTGCCCTGCCCTCGTAAGTTTGTTGGGGTCTATGATGCATAATTTATGTGTTAAACAAAATAATCWTTTCAGTCTTCTCTTAAAACCAAAACAAGCGTAGTTGCATCTCCCACTTTTTGCACTCTTCTCTAGGGTTGTTACTCCCTGAACGTTCAGTCCAGTAAAGAGCTATGGTGGATTTAATGACTAAAGGAATAAAGAATCAAATGAACAAGCAAGTGGTACAGGTCTACCAGCTGAGCAGCTGGCAGCAAGCATGTTCCCATTTAKTAATTTCCTATGAATATTTATTCCAAAACATTATTATTATTGATTTCTTCCCCCCCCCAAGATTCTTTTCAATGAAGAAGGAAATATGTGTCTGCAGAGTTAAAATGTTCCGAGTTTAGAACATTGTCCATTTTTTAAATTAAGAGTTTTTATATGTTGACAGTTACATAGCAGTTACTATGACCCATTTAAGGGCTCCACTGATAATGGTACTAAGTACAAGAATAAAGTGTGTGAGTAGTTAATGATCAGCTTTTGGTATTTATAATAATGTGGGTTTTAACTCCTTCAGTTTTTTTAATGCATATATGCGTATGCAAACACAAAAAGGAATTTGACTATTCATTTTTCTCTCATTAACCTCAGTCTAGAGGAATTAAACTGTTTTCTAATTACACCTGTCTATCTGTACCATGTACAAATGAAAGCAGTCATTTTACATTTACTTTGTTGAAAAATTTGCCTGAATGTTTTTTAAATTTTCTTCTCAAGATACAGTTCTTTCAGTAAGATGGAACAATAATAATTATGATAATAATAAAAAAATCTACTCTTGTTAAATAATGTTACATTTTTCAATGTCTTTTTCAACTATAAAGATATACTTGAAAGATGAATGTTTATTGTTTTGAACTAGTGGATAATAGAATGTCTTCATACTTCAAACTTGCAATTAAGTCATACAAGACCATAGACAATAAYAGAAAAACTTAGCTTATCATGGAGAAGTTGTTCTTCAATATATTTTACAATTAATGTTATATTTTCTTCTGCTAGAATTTCTTAAAATGAATGGAGAGGAAGAATTTGTTAGGSTAGCTGTGACAGTAGCTGGAGGGTGATATATTTTTTCCTTACCAAGACAGGAGACATGTAGCAATCAAGCAAGCAGGAGGTCATTAGCATGTTTCAGATTTTTGCAGTCTTAAATCATTGGAAATATGAGGGTAACTCAGAATCTTCCTGGGGAGAAACAGGATGTTTCTGGTCAGGCACCTGCTGCATCTGTGATACCGTCTCCATTTACATCCTCAGAATTTCACTGTGAGGTCAAATCAAGGGGAGCGGGAGGGATGGGGGGAGTGGCCTAACAGGTGTCCAGGAAATGCTGTGGGGAATGGCATAAAAATGTAAACACAGATGTCTGTAGTGGCCTGAGAGAAGGTAGTGCACACCTTCTGGGGCTTGCCTTACTTTTTGTAATTCCTGATGCTGTCTAGAGTTTGCTGAAATTGTTGTGTGTACACAAATGTCATGCAGCAACACCCARTGTATTTTATGACAATGAGTGTTTTAAGAGGTATTTTAATAAAAAGACATTACTGGATCTTGTGTTTTCTTTCTCAAGAGTTTCTCAGGGAAACATTACCAGGAAGCATATTACAAAAGTTACAGATTTAGATAGATGGTATAATACAGAGAATTAACTCACCAGCAATTTTTTTCCCATACCTAAAAGTGTAGCTTTTAAGTTTTTTTCTGTACATAAATGATTCATATTCAGAATGTTCTTTCTGAAAAATCTAACCATTTTAGAAAGTTGTCTATTTAGTCCTATTTTGCACGAAAAACCTTAATTTATTTCGGGGTCTCTTACTTCACCCTACATCTGGATACCAGCAAACCATCATCTACATAATAACATGTTTTTAAAACTTCTTTTAGTTAGAGATGTTCTCCAGGTAAAGCATYGGCCACTTTTATCACTATCCTTTGGGACAGAATTGTAAATCAYTGAACATAAAAGGAAGCAAAGAGGGAATTCATACAGTAAGAAATTAKACAAATCCCTAGTGTGTTGGGGTTCTGATTGAAAAGGGGTTGAGGGCCTTTTGTTATTCTTTCTCTAAAAGTAAAGGAAGTTTTTGTTTATTTGCTTTGGGGTTTGGATTTGGTTTGTTGGGGGTTTTGTTTGTTTTTCCCTACAGACRCTTGAGTACAAAGGTCACAACATGACATTGCTTTCCTGATGTTAAGGTTCCTGGCTTGCTTTTAGTATGCTTAATGGATTTCACATCTAGTTCCTAAAAAAGAAGTATAAGAACACCTGATTGTATCTTTAATAATATATCTATGGTCACTCCAGTGCCCCACCCAAAATGGTGGATATTCTGAYACCTGACTCCCAAGCCCCTTGTCCTGCTGGATGCTGTGACTTGAAGTTTGCTGGCGAAGGCACAGTGACACACAGACCCACACAACATGGATATACTCCAGTCTCTCCAGCCCCGTGACCTGTGGTGCCCTCTCCCATKGCTGGCATTTACACCTTCATAGGCAAAGTATGGAGACCTGTCACCTGGGAGGAGTTTAATGAGAACAGAGGACAGACCATGGTGATGAGGTACCTGCAGAACACAGCCAAACAAGAACCTAACATTTTCCCATGAGATCATAATGTCTGTTGGGCTTGGCAAACACCTGTACCAAGATCTGACGCATTCCCTTGGCACAGTATCTTTCACCAAATCACCAGTACATCATTAAAATTCATGCTACTCACATGGGAAAACATATTTAGATACAAAACATTGCAAGGAACAGAACAAATCTGATTCAGACAAATCCACTTAGGATTTGTAAGGGTGGCCAAGGCTCAAGTTTTCTCATACCCTTTTCATTGCTTAAGTATTTATATTTTTTTTCCTGCTGTAGAGAATTTGGAATTATTTGGCTTTGAGCGACCTGATCCAGGGGAAAGTGTTCCTGCACAGGGCAGGGGGTTGGAAATAGATGATATTTAAGGRCTCTTCCAASCCAAACTATTCTGTGATTCTATTACTCCATAATAGTGCTCATGGGACTTGCTTAGGCAGAGCTCAGCATCATATACCTTTTYGGGCTCTCTTCTCCTCTCTGTGGTATTTTCCTTGAACAACATACTTTCTCCCCCAAAGGCATTAACTGATTTACTACTTCTAGGTTTTCCTTTTGTATCTTCAGGCTCTCATTTTTTCAMGTTTGTTTCTGTATGTGGCCAACTAGTTTCATTCCTAAGCTAAATCTCCTTCTGACTGCTATGTATTCCTTTATTGCTAAGGAAAATGACACAGCATGTCTAAAGTTATCCCAGAATGGTACAGCCCACACAGGCTCCCATCTTTCCAAGACAACCCCAGAACTGGCTTTCTTGAAGCAATAGTAGAAGGAAGCTGTRTCATTAATGCAGCTATGTATTTTCCCTTTTCTTTCCCTGACCAAATGYTTTCTAAAGCTCCCCTCTGCTATTATTTCTTTTATGAGGCTCAGGTACAACAGTGAGACTGATTTTCCAAGCAGAGAGCTTACCACTTCAGAATCCTTGCTTCACTTTGTATTTCAAGCAGTAGGAATTTACTGAGTGAATGTGGGGCATGTTGAGGGTGTAAGAAAGTGCTTYGGTCAGTGTTAAGTCAGCCTCAGACCACAGTGAATTCTGCAAGTCAGAAATCATCCAAATGTTTCACATGGCACTAAACTGGTATAGTCAGCACTGCACACAATCACTTGTTTGTCCTCAAAATCTGGGAGAAGATTCATTCTGGGTTCATTAGCTGATGGGCCCATTGTGCATGAACTTTTGTTGGCAGCGGCCTCTGATAATACGCATTCTTCAGAGCTGAGAGCCTCTGGCCACTGTCACTTCAAGTGGAGCTCCTCACAGGCAACTATCTCCAATTACTACAGGGTCTTACAGAACTAACCCTTCTCTCTTCTTTTGCCAGGAGTAAGGGGGCCTTTACATATAACAAAAAAAGAAACACGTTAGCTGCGATGTCAGGTTAAATAGCCTGGTGAGCCCTTGCTGTTAAACTGTTTCTTCTGGAGAGGAGGAGGGAGATTGGAAGTTGTGAGGTTATGTAATATGTGGTGGAGACAATATCCCTGTGCTCCAACACTAATCGGAGTGTTTACAACCCTCCCTTTTGTATCTTCCACTGAATAGCACAAATTCCTGTGGGGGACCTTTTACATTACCGCAGGAGGTGGCACAAAGAGCTCATTCGACAGGGACTAAGCAGCATTGAGTCTCAAGTGAATAAATGGAGCAGGTGGCACACTGCCACAGTATTAATGTGTCCAATAGGCCAGGRATTATGCCTGAGGCTGTGGGAATGAATCGGCCCTGCTTCTGACTGAAACAAATTCCCCTGTTGATGAGAAATCCTGAAAGGGATTCAAATTACGCAGGTGCTCAATGTAACAGAAACTTGCATTGTAAGAGGCAAAAAAAAATCACAAAATTCCTTTCAACATCAGTGTAAACAGGATGCATGTTGAGATGGGGATGTATTCGTTGGCACAGGTTGCCTCAAGAATGCAGAGCATTTCTCCATTTCCCTTGCATTCCAGAAAGTGGTAGAGAAGAGTGGGTAACTCCTCTCTGGAGGTCAGGCTTGTTATGCAGGATGAAGCCGAAGCCAATGACTGTTCTCATGTGAACTGAGAACATGGAATTCTGTCAGCAGCAACATCACAGGGAAGGTGGCCCAGGTGCCYGCACCTGTGGGGCTGTGTCAGCTCCCACTCTGAGACTGACGCCTTATGGTGTTTGCTGACTTCCACTTTGACAGTTGTAATCTCACAACATATTTGGCCATACCTGGCTTTAATCACAGCTAACAGAACCTCAGAATCACAGAATGGGTCAGATTGGAAGGGACCACATTGGGTCATCTGGTCCAACCTCTCTACTCAAGAAGGAACATCCCAGAGCACATTGCACAAGACTGTGTCCAGATGGTGCTTAAATATCTCCAACAAGGGAGACTCCACARTGTCTCTGGGCAATCTGTTCCAGTGCACGCCCTGCAGTAAAGAACAGTAMAGTTCTTCCTCATATCCAGGTGAAACTTTCTGTGAATTAGTTTCTCTCCATCACCTCCTGCCCTATTATTTTACACCATTGAGAAGAGCCTGGTTTGATCCTCTTGGCATCYCCCCTCCTTCAGATAMTTATAGAGAGGTCTCGTCTSAGTMGTCTCTTCTCAAGGCTGAACAGGTCCAGCTCCCTCAGCCTTTCCTCKTAACAGASATGCTCCAGTTCCTTAGTGATCTTTGTTGCCCTTCACAGGACTCGCTCCAGGAGCTCCGTGTCTCTCTTGTACTGAGGAGCCCAGAACTGGACACAGCAGTCCAGATGCAACCTCACCAGRGCTGAGTCGAGGRGGAGGATCRCCTSCCTCGACCTGCTGGCAATGCTCTTCCTAATGCCCAGGAGGATACCATGGGTCTTCTTGGCCTCAAGGGCCATTGCCAGCGGCTTACGGACGCTCGCGTTCCTTCTGTTCCCAAAGGAGCGATGGGGCTGCTGCCTGCTGGCCCTCGGCGGCCTCTGAGGGAGCTTCACACACGCGWCTCACCGGGATCTCACACAGGGAGGGGAGTCGCGGTCCGCTCGGGCAGCCAAGCCCCGTTCCGCGGGCSTGGGGGCTTCAACAGCGAAGGAAGGGAGAGGAGGGGGATAACCCCCCCCCAACCCGCGGCGCGACGGCCACTGGGAGATGTAGTGCGGTAGCCGGCGGCCACCTCACGCCCTCGGCTGCAGCGTCCCCGGGGGGAACTACAGCTCCCATCGTGCTCCGCGCGCAGGAAAACCGGCCCCGCCCGCTCCACCGCCCCCGCCTTCACGGCCGCGCGGAGCGAGGCGGCGGCGCGTGCGCGGTGGTGTGAGCTCGCGCCGCTCCCCGCCCGTCCCTGCGAGTGCCGGGCGGCGG